ATTTAACTTTGCAAATTCCTTTCTAAAGAAGCTGACCAAATGCCTTACAAAGCTTACTTAGAAATCAAGCAAGTATACAGCCAATATTCATAACTTCAAGTACAAAAATGATATATGTGTACAAATAGGATGAGTAGATTCAATAGACCATAACCTTTACAGAGATAAGTTACATGGCACATGTAGCATAAAACATACTCCAGTTATGTCATATTCCCATAAAGCATTATGGGATACATTGTCACAGTCCCCATTTTGGTTCGTCTATAGGCACTACTGCAATGACCACAATAGTGATAATACAAATTCACTACTGATAAACATCTGGTGGAGCCAATTCCAAAGTGCTTCTGTCTGTCACATCTCCAGGACAAGCTATGAATATGTTTTGGGTAGAGGGCACTGAGTTCCCTCCTTTTTATGCAATTTGGATTGTTTGTTCATCCAAAAGAAATGTAGATGCTTATTAAATATTTTAAATACTTGTAGATTATTTAAGGTAGGATATAATTCTTACAATCTGGAAATCTCCGGTTTCAGTGAGTAACATTAGCAATGTAGGCCCCAATCCTGAAAACAATTATGCACATACTTAACTTTATACGTGAGTAGTCCCATTGACTTTGGTGGCACAATTCATGTGTGTAAAGTTAAGCACATGTAGGAACAGGACCTTAATGAGCAGATAAGAGAACGCATCTTAGGTCCATAGTGCTATTCCTTCAGTCTTTCAATATTTGACTGATTCAGCTATGATGCAGAGCACACACTGCCAGCTCTGTGTGTGTGGCAGCAGAAGAGAGGGTGCAGAGAAGAAGCAGGTTGAAGATTTGGGGGAATGCCCCAAATTTTGCTGAGTCATAGATTAGTGGAGTCTGAAATCATCCCTTTTATTGTTGCATGGTGTATGAATGCTAAAGTTACATGTGACTTTTGTATTCCTCTCTTCATTTTATCAATTTTTAAAAAAACAAATGCTATAAAATAGTCTTATTCACTGTCACTAGTAATAATACTAACAAAATTAGAACAATCACAAAGACAAAATAATTTACAGCACATCTGTTAATAGTTAAATAAACTATTATGGTGCTGTTAGTAAGGCATGTTGCATAATTCCAATGGGAAATTTTTTCCATTTATTAAAAACATATGTCCAAACTTTATTTTATATCTAGGATTTTGCTGCTGAAGAATTAGGAAAATAAGGATTTTTAGTAAGGTCAAAGTTACTGCTTCCAAAGATTTTTCCTCAATTAAAATTGATATAGGATGCTTTGAAACAAAAACTTTTCAAACCTTATCAAAATCAAGATGACATAGGTTAGTCCCAGAAGTATAGTCTTGTAGGATAAAATATTGCAATGTGTGTGCCTGTTTTATAAATGTGTTCTGCTTATGACTTGTTTCTTTTTCACTAGCTGAAAACATTATAACTCAGTGTTTCTTGATAATTAATCTTCTTTTTAAGACATTATAAATGTCTATTTCAATCTGCTACATGTTAAAAGCAACCAGAAACCTTTTCTTCCCTGTGCCCTTTTTGTTTCACAAGTGTGCAAGGAAGAGGAAGTCATTCAAAAGCATGTTGTATACTTAATAGTGGATTAAGCTGCTCCCCCAATAATCTTCAGGTAAAGGAACAGAAGGATCATAACCCTCTGCTTCTTTTTTTTAATCCTAAAACATGATGGTTGGAGACTCTTGATATATTCTCCAGAGGCTCAACCTCTGAGGTAATAAAGTATTACCTTAATGTGCTTGCTAATATTTTAGAGCTATTCAAATACATCTTAATTTGGTCCTGTTCTTTAATAGGATAATTGGACCCTTTTCAGTGGTTCTTTTAGTATATTTCCAGGTTTTTTAATTCTTGGGAATACAACAGTTAGGTTTTTTTATTCATCATTTTTAAAAGCTGGTTGTGAAATCCTTCATTTTATGTCCACTTTCCTAGAAGCCACAGAGCTTAAACCCGTACAAAGGCTAGATCTGCATATGGTGCAGACTGCAGCCTCTGACAATAAATTAGTCACTGAGGAATCTTTATCTTCACTGCTAATTTTCAATTTAATATATTGACCAAGCTGCTTCTGTTGCTTTATCTTCTCAGATGACTTGTATTCTCTCTGACTCAGTTTTGCCAAGATAACCAGTCTCCCTTGCAATGCCAAAGTAAATATAAAAAACACAGATGAAATTACACAACGCACAAACATTAAAAACAAAAAATCTCTGGGACTCCAATAATGTCACATTACAAAATAGGAAACCTCGATCCTTCCTTAAAAATAGCTTTCATAGATAACTATATAAAATCAATTTTAAATTTACAAATTATAGAACATCTTTACATTCCATTAAATAGGACAAAATAGTTAAGATTTATAAGATAGGCATTATATACAAATAAAGCTAACAACTGAAAATTATAAGCATAAAAAAGAAAATACAGGCTTGTTCACATAGCAGTCCTTTGTTTAAAGCATCTCTCCCTGTTGATATCCTCAATAGGATGACAGTGCTCCCAGACATATTTGGAGAGCAGGTCAGGGAGCAGTGCTGTTACAGCAGAGTCCTCTATGAAACCCCCTTTTGCTTGTAATATCCTCAATAAGGTTGCAATGATCTCAGCTGCAGGTGAAGAAAGGCCCATGTGGCAGTCAAGTTCTATTATCTGATATTCACAAGAGCAGTGAAAAGTTCTCCTTTGGAACTGAAAATGTCCCTGTTTGCTTTCAGTCAGGAAGTTATTGTTCTATTGTTGGAAGCCTAAGAAAATCTGTTCAACTTTGTTATGTCTAAGTTAGATGGAACAAAAACAACTGCACAAAAACATTTTTAACTTGATATCCATGAGGAAGTCTCTTAGATACATATGAAAAAAATATATATAGTTATATGTTTTTATAATAATTTCTGGACTTGCTCAAAAGCATACTAAGATTTTTAGCAAAGTGCATTCAAGCCCTGCAATTTACAACATTATGTAAAGAGGTGGGACGTAGTTCTCCCTCCCCAATCTCATCAGCATGTTGGCATAGTGTCCAATGACAAAGTAATTATTGTTATTTTATTTGTAGTTAAAGGCTGAGAGTTTGGGTGCTAAGGAGATGAGGAAGTGGGAGGAGTGAGGCTCCCGAATTGTAAGTAGCACAAACAGAGAGAGTTACTGTGGATTTTCTGTAATTGAAATACAGACAGTTCTGCAGGAAAATTAGTGCTTTGTTTTTTATTTCCTTCAGTTATAGTTTGTCCATCATCTAGATACCGTGACACACAGTGCTAAAATTACAATAAACAGCTGTTTCCAACAACTAATACAAATCAGACCTTCCCCTGCCTCTTTCCCCCTACCATTCAAAAGATAAATGCCCCTGGCTAGAAGCCCAAATAAGAAAAAGGTAAAGTAAACTTTTTAAAGTAAACTGTTTTTAAAAATGAAAAGAACTGAGTGTTTCCTTCCTTTTTGCACATAAAGCACCTAAGAAATCAAACACTGAGGGAGGCAGCATGGTCTAGTAGATTGGACACAGGATTAGGAAGCCACTCTTGACTTCTAGCCATAACTGTGTCATAAAGTTATTTTATGTCATTGGGCAAATCATTTAACCTGTTTATGGGCCACTTGCTATGTTGCTCTGTGCAGTGCAGACATGGCCAGATTAAGGTAAATTGTTAATTAAATTAAAAATTCAGGAAATGCAAATATCTTGTTCTCCCACAGTTGTTTCTGGTCCCTTTGGCCCAGATTTTTAAAGGTTTTTAATAGTTGCGAGGCTCAGCATTGTAACTCCTAAATCTAATTTTCAAAAGGGATATAGGCACTTGGAAGCATAAATCCCATTTACAGTAAATGAGAGTTAGGCTCCTAAATCAATTAGGTGTGACAATGCTGAGCACAGTAATACCAAAATATCTTAAAAATCTGGGCTTTTGTGATTATATGTAGTATGTTTCTCATGTTAGGGCCAAATTCTGCACTAATTTGCACACTCTTAAACTCCTTTTGGCTTTGTAGGGGTTTCATGAAAAGTATTATTGTCCCATTGTACAAATGGAAAACTGAGCCAGAGAGAGATGTCCCAGGCCACAGAGGAGTGTCAAAACTGGAACTTCAACTCAGTGATTCCCGTATCTCAGCTCTGCACTCACTAGACAATTGACCAGATTCTCTTCTGTATCCATTTGATACTGGGTGCAGCAAAGAAAGGAGAGATTATCAAGGAATTGGTTACAACTCTCTTATTCTCTGCACCACTTAGAATGCTTGTGGCTGTTCCAAACTGCACCAGCTGTCTTTGATCTCATGAAGTGCTTTCCACTCCAACCACTCCACCTCAATTGCCAGGCCTCTCCATGCCTCCGATACACCCACGATATAGCAAGAGCAGCGGGGTGAAAATGTAGAAGGCTCCGATGGCTCTAAATCTGCTGGGAATCCCTTATACGGGAGTATTTCCACCTGGAGTGATCTTGAAGGTTCATCTACCTTTACACCTCTTGAACCATGCAAAGGAAGCAAAGTGGGCCAAAAAATGTAGATCATTGCCTCTGTGTAAATCGCAAGCTGAGCATAACTGAATAGGAAAAACTGAGGTCTGCCATTCTTGCAGTTTTTCCAGTACTACCACACTGCAAAGTACACATGAGGCAGTCTTACACTATTTCCAATAAAGAAACACTTAGAATTTTGCAAGGAGGGCAGTTTTAGAGTATTCATGTTATCCAAGGGTATTGCCATGTTTGTTCATCACCATTTGTTCTGGAGAGAAGTGCCTGATGGATTGTGACTGAGGGAAAGGAAAAATCCTGGTGGGCTGAAATGTTGGGTCTTTGTTAATATTGGGGAGACAAATTATTTAGGGGCTGTTTTTTAAAATCTGCCAACCACAGATTGTTCAGTGCATGTGCAAAACTTAAAATAAGTAAATAACGTACAAATTGTCTCAATGCCAACAAAGAACAATTTTAGACATCAGTTCTAAAATACATTTCAGCACCCGCTCCCTCCTCAGTAAAATCTGGATAAAGTCTTGCAGCATACTCTGAAGGTTATCAAATCTGGACTCAAGCAAACTATATGGGAAAGTGAAATCCAGAGTCAAGGGCCCCACATCAAGAACAACTACTGCTTTGGGTCTTGGCTGTTCACAACTGCTGCAGAATCATGTAAGGAGAGAGGCAATGACACAGGTAGGTAGAGTCAATTTCACTTAAGGATTTACAGGTTAGAACCAATGCCTTATAATCCACCTGTAAATCAGTCAGTAGCCAGTGTACAGGAGTAATGCAGTGCTGATTAATAAATGGGAAGTCACAATCTGCATTAGCTAATTTCTGGATTGTTTTAAGATATAGCCTCTTCTACAGCACATTGCAGTAATCCAAATTTAAGATGAAAATGGCATGGATGATCCTAGGAAGATCTGTATCTAAAATGAAAGGTCACAACCTTTTTGCCAAGAGGAAACAATAAAAAGCATTATTGGGAAATACTGCTACTTGAACATCCAACAAAAATCCTTAGGTTGCGAGCCTGTGTAACAAACAGCAGGTATACCCTTTCAGTCAGTGATAGCCTGCATACACTCTTCCAAAGCTATTAGATACTAGCCGAGTCACTCAATTACACCAGCTGGTCAGAAAAGACGATGTTATGAAGCTGTATTTTATCTGCATATTGCAGCCCATGTTGCCTCACTAGCTCTTTTAAGAGGGATGGAAAAAACTCCAGTAGATTTGTCCTTGAAAGTAGGTATTGATCCTGCTGGGAGAAACTTATATGAGAGCTAGAATTTGAGTCAAAGAAGCTCTAGATTCTGGTCTCAGTAGTCCTGAGATAAGGATCCTAGATGCAGCCAAGCATAGGGAGATGGCTTGAGATGAACTATGTTACCTCTTTGTTAATAAAACCAGATCACAGGATGGGAGTGAGATGTGACTCCACACAGCATGTAAACTGTCTTTTAAAACATATTGGAGAAGTCATCTGTTCACATTCCCCTAATGGTCCCATGCATATATTGATCAGAAGGGATGACAGACTAGCACCTGGCCTTTTAATGGTTCTGTTTGTTTCTTTCAGAGAGTGCCCAAATGGGTAATAACTTCAGATAATTTCCAAATCCGATAGCTTCTTAGGAGGATGCAGTGCTGTCTCTCAATGAGATAGTATAGCTGCTTGGTGGAGAAAGATACAGCTAAACCGGGAGCCACACAGCAGGAACCTTGACTTTAATGTTTTTAAGGTGTCTGAGGAAATGTCAATGAAAAGCCAAGAGAGTGAGATAGGATAGGAGGGAAGAAAGAGGTGGGGCAGAAAATAACATAACAACGGAAGGAAATACAGTACCAGATCTTACATGTCTTTGTGGTGCTGCCAATTAGATATCCCCGCTGCTGGACTGAGGACTGGATGTCATGATAATGTGATGACTTTCAGCAATCACAGGTGAAAACAAAGTTCCTTAAACAAGAGCAAGGCCAGAGAGCCTTCCTCTCAGGAAGAAAGTCCTTTAGATAAGTCAAGATGAGTTGCAGTGTTGGTAGGTTGGGGGATGAGCCGGGATGTAAAATGGGATGAGAGAGAGAGAGCTGAACTGAACTGATTTTTTTTCAAAGTCTCTTTTTAGGAAATCCCAAAAGGGAAAAAGTGGGTGCCATAGTTCACCCCCCTCACTATTTTGTTCACAAACTAAGCCTAATATCTGTCACATCAATTTTGGTCTTTTAATTTTAAAATCTGTTTTCACCACGCATAATTCCAACAGTACTTGGATTATATCAACATGGCCTTTTTGATTTAGACTAATCCAGCTTCTTTGCCTGCTTCTACAGAACAGATGTAGACAGTGAAGGGGCGGCAGTAGTACTTGTGATGTCTTGGTGTGCCAGGAAACTGGGGAGCTGTGCCCCATGAAAGAAAATCTGTCCTGGATTTTCACCCCAGCTCTTTGAGGACAGTGCTTACTGAGATCACTCCAGCCCTTATTGTGCATCCATTTTGAAGTCATTTACCCAGTGGTCTATAGGATTATGCTAAGAACCTTTTCCCATCGAGGATCAGGCCTTTTCATTTATGAAAAATGAATTGATAGGTTCTTTTGTTTCATGTATTTCTTTATTTAAGATTTAAAACTTGATTTCCAAATTACAAAAAATAATTCAAAATATCAAATTATCTTTAATTAAATTGTTTTGCTGTCTGATATTACCTAATATTTTTAGTATTGTTTATATTTTCATATAGTAAACTACATATTACAATACTTCTGTTTACAGAATATAAAATTATTTACATATCTCTTAAAATTCCTAGCTGAATCTCTGAATCTTTCTACACAATCTAAATAGTGAATATAATTCATACATAACACTAGTTTAATAAGGAAAAAAACTAATTGTATAATAAAATTTTGATAGTCTCCTTATTTAGCTCATTTTATCTGCTTATTAAACTATAAGTTCAGTGCTTAACATTATTAACAAATGTATTACTTCCAAATATAATCAAGGAAGGGTATGGATACAAGCTATATAAATAAGACATTAACATAGCTAGAAATAGCTTCTTTCTATATAAATGTTTGTTGGACAGATAAGAAGAGGTTTACTACAATGTTACAGAAACACTCACTTTTTCAAGTTACTATTCAAATTATCCTTATTATTAACATAAAAACTTGTTAGTGTTTTGACTGTTTGACTTATCTTTAATTGGCAGAAAGCCATAGAAAGAAAATACACAACAGACTATTAGCATTTCTACTCCTCATTAAAAGATTTAAAAGGAAAAAAATCTATAGATTAAACCTAAAAACTTAGTAACACTTTACTCCTAAACCAACCAAATGTGGGAGAAAATGCTCCTATAATAGGAGCAACTCTCAGACATTGAATAGCAGCTTCTAGGGGCCTATTTAGAAGACTTTTGTGTGATTACTATGCTGAACAAAATGTGGAATTTAAGCTGTTGTTAAATGCAGATAAAGGTCAGAGAGCAGAATCTCCACAAACAGTCATTTGCAAAATTTCTAACTTCCTTTATCCACAGAAGGAATGTGCAGTGCTAAAACTAGGCAGAATCAATGCAAAAAAAGGTATTCCTGGCAACCATGAGGTATTTACTGCTGTTAACAAAGAGCAGCATACAAATGTGTTTGAAACTCAGACACAGACAACTGTTGGAAAAGAATCCCAGAATAGTATTCATTTTACGTCAACTTGCTGTTAGTGAAAGGGATATAATCTTTCATTTTTATTTAGGAAGTTTCTTTCTCACTGCTGCTGCAGCTTTTTCTCATCAGTTCATGTTTAGAGTGTGTAAACAGTCTGGTTAATCAAAACCACACACAGACCTAAATAATGTTACAGACCCTATGCTTTCTACATGTTAACAGACCTGTCCCATTAACTCCTATTATGTCTCAGAAAATGTATATAGGCATTTCTTATCTAAATCAGCAGCAAAACAGAGTGAGTGGCAATACAATTACATATTTACCAGATTATATTATAAGTGCACATATTAATTGTTTTCTGTGAGATGTATATGCTAACTGTAAAGCTGCATATATCCTGACATGAATTACAGAACTGTTTACATTTTTTCTAGTTTCCAAATGCAGCTATTGCTATCCAACACATACTCCTCAGTTTTCAGTGAAAATCTAGTATTGTATACAGTGTTCGAGGCTGGAATGATTGCTGGTATTGGGATTGATTCACTCAGGTGAGTATGCCTAACATATGAAATTAGTCCTATTAGAACTTTCATGTGAATAAGAAAGTTGCAGATTTTTCACCCACATTTATCATTTGCCTAATTCTCCTTGAGTCCCTAAAAATAAGTAATTTAAACCATTCAAGCAAACAATGTACCATCCAATATTTAGCCGCTACTGGCACAAAAGTGTTTAATTTAGGCAATGGGTATATTTGTGTGGTAACCACTAAAAAACATGTATTTTTAAAAAGCATAACAAAAAAAGGCCCAACTAAGTTATGTAAATGTAATGTAACAAAGGTCATTATTCATAAAATTATTTACCAAGGTCCTCTATTTAAAAATAAAAAATTGTTTAAAAACCAAAAAATGTAAACTGGTCCTTTAATTTAAAAATACATTGAAAACAATAAAAAATAATAATAAAAGCAAAAAAAAAATCAGGCAATATGCAATGTACACCTCTACCCCGATATAACGCTGTCCTCGGGAGCCAAAAAATCTTACCGCGTTATAGGTGAAACCGCGTTATATCGAACTTGCTTTGATCCGCCAGAGTGCGCAGCCCCGCCCCCTTGGAGTGCTGCTTTACTGCGTTATATCCGAATTCGTGTTATATCAGGTCGTGTTATATTGGGATAGAGGTGTATATCCCGTCACAGGGACTAGGGCTGGAGTGGAACAGGCTCGATTTATGCATTTCCTCCAAACACATTTAAGAACATCTTTCCAGCACAGATACCCAGCTCTTTATACACAACCCGAACATATATCACAATAATATTCCTGACCAGTGCATTTACATATGATGCCTTACAAGATACTTTTTGGATAGATGTTATGACAACAGTGTCTTGAGGGTAGTGAGTATGGTAGGCCTGATATGAGTTACAATACAGTGGGCCTTCTGCCAGTAGGCATTAAGGAGCAGGCACTTAGAATCACACCTGCAGTCAGCATCTCTTTATGTGAATGAAACATGGTGGTAGTTTCTGAGCTGTGAGTTCTCTGCAGTGCAGCATCTGGCAGCATGAGCCATGGAACTCAGTCTAAAGCCCATTGGAGCCCTGGATTTTGCAGACACAAACCTAGCCCAGCAATAGACCCGATGGAAGAAGTAGTTTAAATTGTACTAGATCTGATCATGCAGGAGGACAATAGCTGGAATGTAAAACTGTTGTTTTACTTTTTTGGGGAACAGGGTGGAGAGGTCTGCACCTCTCTGAAGCTCACCATTGCCTCAAGCCTCACAGCGGTTCTAGGAACCCTGTGGACCTACTCTTCCCAAAAGCAGAAGTAAACTCTGGAGAGATGCAGGTTTTTCACTAGTGTTACTGCCTTATGCACACTGCCTGCTACTTGCAATGTGGGGACTTAATAGACATCCTAATTCAGGACAGGATAGTCTATGGCATTTAGGATCACTATCTGCAGGAGTGGCTTCTCTGAGGAGGTGTTCTCACATTAGACAGATGCTTAGATATGAGGTTTATAGTGGAAGCCTCAAGAGAAAAGATGAAAGCCCTAGGAGGAACACCACCCTCAAAGTACATGCAATGAAACATAAACAAAGAAGAGCAGGTCAACAGAGTTGCATACCTACATGAGATGCATTTACTCTGGGAGACAGCATGAGTGGGTAAAGGAGTAGTGCCCTGCACTAGGACAGCTGTGCAAGGAATGTGGCAAGTCGAACCATTTTAGTGATGTGTGCAGGAGCAGGGGAAGATCTCAGAAAGATTCAGTCAGTCTTGTACAAGAGGGGGATGGCATATCAGACAGCAGGGATGACATCCTGATTCTCTCCTTAATTCCAACAGCATATCAGGTTTGAGCAGTCAGGACAAGAAAAAAACAAGGGATAATGCCGGCCCCCCATGTGTGCAACAATGTTAACAGGGAAACACCCTATGTGATTTCATCTGGATAGTAGGACCTCCTGCAATGTGATTCCTCAGGTTTAATTGGACTCAAACACACTTATTGCAAAAAGCAGGCACAATAAAATAATGTACAATGACAGCATATTGCAGCTCATAGGAAAATGTGACCTCATAGTGACTAACCCAAAAAATAACAGATGGTACCAACTGAAGTTTGTGGTGGTGGACAGTAAGCACCTCTTGGGGAATACAGTCATACAACCCAGGAATCTGATCATGGTGCAGCATCAGAATTTGATAGATGCAGTGCAAGAAGCAAAAGGGGAGTCCCTTGGACAATGGAGACAATTTTAAAAAGCATATAGGGATGTTTTCAAAAGTGATGGACACTTTAAAGGAAAGCTACAACTCGAAGTAGACCCCACAGTGGAACCTTGTATATTTACCATGAAGGAAAATTCCAGTGGTAGTACATAACCCAGTACACAAGGAGTTTGAAAGTCTGTGGTGCAGGGGTATCACACTACCTATTGAGGCCAGTACAGCCTAGGTAAGTAGCCTGTTGGTGGTAAGAAGCCACCAGGCAAATTATGCATCTGCATGGATCCAAAGCTACTGAACTGGGCACTAGAAAGATGCCACTATCCACTGCCCTCAATTGATATCTCACCAGAACTTTCCAAACCCAGAATCTAAGTAATTTTAAACTTGTTCTTTCCCTATTTTAGCCCTTGGATCCTACCTCATTTTCACTGGCATTCAGTATGTTAGACGTCCAATTGCTAATAACCTTTTTGGTGAAAACTGAAACAAAAAAAGAGTGATTTAGCGCTTCTGCCATCTCCACATTTTCTGTTATTGTTCCCCAGCTCCTCATTGAGTAACAGGCCTGCCCTGTCCTTGGTCTTCCCCTTGCTTCTAATGTATTTGTAGGATGTTTTCTTGTTACCTTTTATGTCTCTAGCTAGTTTAATCTCCTTTTGTGCCTTGGCCTTTTTTATTTTGTCTCTATATACTTGTGTTATTTGTTTATACTCATCCTTTGTACTTTGACCTAGTTTCTACTTTTTGTAAGGCTCTTTTTTAAGTTTCAGATCATTGAAGATCTCCTGGTTAAGCCAGGGTGGTCTCTTGCCATACTTCCTATCTTCCCTACGCATAATGAATGCACCTGTCCTGATGTACTACCAGTGAGGAGAGCCACTGATACTCTGGTGTGATGCACCAGAGAAAGGATTGGGCATCGCTCTTTTTTCAGGAGCAGCCAGTCACTTATGCCAGCGGAACCCTGTCAGAGACTGAACCAGGGTAGGCCCAATAGAAAACTAGTTTCTGGCTGTTGTATTTGGAGTGCAGCGATTCCATCACTACATCTATGGCCACCCAGTAAAGAGCAATCATACCACAACCCCCTAGAGACAATCATGGCCAAGCCTCTTCTTAGTGCTCCAAAGAGATTGCAGCGCATATTGATGTGCCTCCAGTTCCACCAGCCAGAGATCCAGTATTATCCAGGACAATTATTGATGCTGGCTCACACCTTGAGCAGGGCATATATACCCAGCATCGGCAAGTTGGGAGAAGGGGATAAGGACACTGAATCAATTAATTGATTCAGCTGCACTGTCTCCCAGTCTGAACAGTTGATGGAAACCAAAGAGGCTATGGAAAAGAACATCAGCTGCAGGTATTTAATAGAGTGATACTAGCAGGATGGCCAAAAGACAAAAGCTAAGTACTGATAGGAGCAGAATTATATTTTCAAATTAAAGATGAGTTGAGTGTCCAGGATGGAACCATATATTGATGACAGAGAGCTGCCTCATTATGTCAGGATCTTGTGCAAAAAAATACCTGGACATTGACAGCTGTTTTAGACAGGCCCATGAATGTGTTCACTGGTCAGGAATGAACATACAACTCCACTCCTTGATAGAAGGGTGTGGTAATTGTCAGCACAAAGGGTACGTCTATACTTACCTCCGTGTCCGGCGGTAAGCAATCGATCTTCTGGGTTCGATTTATCGCGTCTTGTCTAGCCTGGTGGACTTGGATTCAGCCCAGATGTTGATCCAGGGAGACCCAGTTCTGGAGAAGTGGCTGCAGAACTCCGGTGGTTATTTTCTTCATCCACAGAGATGTAAAACCCTACCCTACTGCTGCCATCATGACATGAGTTGAGAAGCATGAGGAGCCAATCCAGGTAGAGGTATCAAAAATTTGCCCTGGCCTGTAGTAATAGGACAGGACTGGAATCATTTCCAGAGCCTGCTTAATGCCTCCAGCACAGCACAATCTGGGGGAAAAGGAGAAAACTCTGCAGGCAACCTCACACACATATTCCCCCATGTAAACTCAGACCTCATGGAGGCCACAAAATCTCAACAGCAGAGATGGGAGGCTGGACAACTTGGGGCATAGTTAAATCAAACTCAGGGGAGTGTTACACCTGAAGAGGACCTGGAGGAAGGTATCTTTGTTGGTCAGAATAAGTTGATGCACAATGGACTGGTGGACACAGAGGATCCACCTCACTTAGGCCCCAATGTTTTGTCAGTCATGTGATGTAGTGGCTGAGCAATGAGTGGACAAGAGCCTTATCATCAACTGGTTATAGTAAATGGGGAGATCCTTCGAGAGCAACAAGCTTCAACCTACCCCCATATTGGGTTGGGAAAAGACCTGCTTTATTGAATAGCCCAAGATGCCCACACAAAAGAAAAAGGGCACCAGCTATTGGTACCTTAGCTAGCCTGAACAAAGCTCTTGCAACTGGCTCATACCCTTCCTTGTGTGGGGAATCCGGGACAGGAAAAAAATCTGGATTATCTCTTAACATGATTTTTCTGCCCAGGCATTTACAAAGAAACTGAGATTTTGTAGGTCCTGACCAGATTGTCAACAGTTAGGGCTTCCTTCTCTCCTGGCAAATCAGGAGAAGCTTTCAGAAGGAGGATATAAAGAGAGAGGGAGGGAAAACAATTTTTTTTTTTTTTTTTTTTTTTTTAAGAACTTGCCCTAGAGTGGGCAAGATTCTAAGGGGGAGAGGATGGTTTGTAACTGGGTGGCTTGTCCATGGGCTGGAGAGCTTGAGGCTAAGCCAACTGTGATTACAAGAGAGAC